CTCTTTTAGAGTTGAAAACTGCTGGCCTTTGAAATGACTATTTTCTGGCATTCTATTTGTTAGCCCTCACTGTTTCAAATATCTTAACTCAAAGTTATTGTCTTTTAAAATATCCTCACAGCTCCAATTATTTTATTGATTTCCTTTTTTCTGTTATCAAGCTTTAAAATGCAGGTTGTTGTTTTTCCCCTAAAGCTTCAAAAGAGAGAGAGAGCACTTAAAATTCTGAGGATCTAATAGTATATAGCATGGTCAGTATGATAATGCTTTGTTTGATAGTACTGAGTGGGAGAGGGCGTCCCCGGGTAAGGTCCTACCTTCGGGCGGGCCGCTCGCGCCCTCTGGCCGCCGGGCCAGGAAGGTGTGCGCCAGCAGCGCCTCCTTGACGTGCTCGTCCTGCGCGCGCAGGGCCAGCGCGCTGAGCAGCTCCGAGTTGTTGGACGTGCTGCGGTAGTAGAGCATGTGCGCCAGCTCCAGAGGGAGATAGAGATAGAAACATCAATGAGCCCTGACAGGTTTGGCTCAGTGGATAGAGCATCGGCCTGCGGACTGAAAGGTCCCAGGTTCGATTCCAGCCAAGGGCATGTACCTTGCTTGCGGGCACATCCCCAGTAGGAGGTGTGCAGGAGGCAGCTGATTGATGTTTCTCTCTCATCTATGTTTCTAGCTCTCTGTCCCTCTCTCTTCCTCTCTGTAAAAAATCAATAAAAATATATTAAAAAAAAAAGAAACATCAATGAGACAGTATCATTGATCGGCTGCCTCCTGCACGACCACCCTACTGGCGATCAGTCCCGCAACCGGAGCATGTGCCCTTGACTGGAATCGAACCCAGGACCCTCCAGTCCACAGGCCAACGCTCTGTCCACTAAGCCAAACCAGCTAGGGCCGGCTATTTGTATTTTTAATCCACTCGCTCTCAAGACGGTGACTCTGAGGCCGCCAACAATATTTTGCAGCAGCGGAATCATGCATTAATGGATTGGTTCAAGGATTTTCAGTCGACACAGGCTTTAGCCTTGGAACATTTTGCTACAATTATTTAAGTCCTTATCTTTTAGACACATACTAAAATATTTGCAGATGACATGCTGGGATTTGCTTCCAAATAATTCAGTAGTGAGAGAGCGGGATCTTTAGGTGAAACGCGACTGACTATTGCTAATTGTAGATGCTGGATGTTGGCTACCTGGGAGCTCATCATATAATTTTATTTCTGCATTTTAAAAAACTTTTCCATAATTTTTAAAAAAAGGTTTAAAATAGTAACTGGTAAAGAGAAGTGCTAACAGACAAAAGTACTCAAAGAGCAGCCCTGGCTGGGCGGTTCATTGGTTGGAGCATCCTCCCATAAACCAAAAAGGTTGCAGGTTCAATTCCTGGTCAGGTCACATACCTAGATTGCAGGTTCGATTCCCAGTTCGGGGCACTTGTACCGGAGGCAACTGATCAATAACTGATCAATGTTTCTCTTTCCCTTCCTTCCTCTCTCTCTAAAAATAAATGAAAACATACTCTTGGCTCTGGCCAGTGTGGCTCAGTGGTTACAGCATCAGCCACACACTAAAGGGTCTCAGATTTGATTTGCAGTCAAGGGCATGTACCTGGGTTGCAGGTTCAATGCCGGGCCCTGGTTGGGGTACATTTGGGAGGCAACCAATTGATGTGTCTCTCTCTCACATCTATTTCTCTCTCTCTTTTTCTCTCTCTCCTTCCCTCCATCCCTCCCTTCCTTCTTCCCTTCCACTCTCTCTAAAAATGGAGACAATAGCCCAAGCAGGTTTGGCTCAGTGGATAGAGCATCGGCCTGCGGACTGAAGGGTCCCAGGTTCGATTCTGGTCAAGGGCACATGCCCAAGTTGTGGTCTCAATCCCCAGTAGGGGGCGTGCAGGAGGCAGCTGATCAATGATTCTCTCATTGATGTTTCTCTCTCTCTCTCCCTCTCCCTTCCTCTCTGAAATCAATAAAAATATTTTTTAAAATGGAGACAATATCGTTGGGTAAGGATTAACAGCAACAAAAAAGAAAGAAAGAAAAGAAAACATATCCTTGGGTGAGGATTTACAAAACAATATTCGAAGAGCAAGCCGTTTTGAGGGGAGAAGAAGAGAAGGGCAGGTCTGGGCCCCGCTGTCTACTCGCTGCACCCGTCCCCATTCGTCAACCCCTCCTTGCCTGGACTCCTTCCCCATCCCTGGTGTCCCCCCGGAGGGGAAGGAGAGCCCACCCACGCCTCTGGGGCTCACACTGAAAACTCCCCACCAAACCCCTCCGTTCATCCACAAAACAAGCTCCAGGCTGCTGGGTCCGGCAGGCTGCAGGCCTGGAAATGAGTCTGAACTCTGCCCCCTACCGGCTGCGGCCCCGCTGGGCTATGACCCAAGACAGGCAGTGCTATCTGTGAAATGAGGCAGATGACAGGAAGTGCTCAGGAAGTGAAAACTCAGTTAATGAAGCCCTTGGCACAGAGCCAGGGCCCAGAAAAGCATTTACACATGAGCTACTACTGGATCTCCATCCACACCCGGCTGGGGCCGCCTTCCAGGTGCAAGTCTCTTCCCCACAGAGCGCTGCCCGCCTGAGGCCGAGGCCCAACGTAAAATGCCTGGGGCCAACCCCGCCCTGCAAAACCGCTGGCCTGGCCTGGCCTGCACGGACCACGCACGTGATGACGGCTGTGCGCGGACTGTGCTCTCTTCCTACAAGCCCTGCAGTCGGCTTATGTCCCTGCATTGGAACGAATCGTCATTCCTACGGCTGAAGGCAAGATGCAGGAATTGGGACCAGCTGACATGAAAATACATCGGGTTCTGTGTCTGCTCCTGCCGAGCCGAGGGTGCGGAATTCTCACAGGTTAACGAGCCGGTCACGCTCCTCTCTGCACAGATGCGACCTGACCTCTCCCTGGAGACCTCTCCACCGGCACCTGCCTGTGCCCTTCACGCTCACCGCGGCCCACACTGAGGAAGGGGTCTCCCCTCACCGAACCCCTAGCCCAACCCTCCCTCCTCCCCTGGGGTCCATATCTGGGGTAACCCCACCATCTACCCAGTCATAGGCCAGACCCCTGGCACCGTCCTTACCCACCCCCACCAGCCTGTCAGTCCCCAGCCCGGTCCTCCTGTCTTCTCTTTGCCGTTCCTTCCTCTCCAACCTCCTCCCTGTCCTCAGTCTCCCCGTTCCAGTCTGTCCCTGCACAGCTCCAGGCGACCCTGCTCCTCCCTGCTCCCAGCGCCTCCCATGGCTCCCCAGTGCCCTCAGGGCCGGAGCGCCTGGGCCTGGCCCCTGGGGATTGCTCCCACTCGCCTCCCACTCCTTCCCTCTGAGCGCAGCCCCGTGTGGAACAAACCAGTTGACCCCGAGCATGCCAGCTCTCAGGCCTCCGAGCTTTGGAACAGGCCAAGCACCTCTGGGCCATTCTTAGAAAACATCCCTGCCTCAATGTCAATGTTCAGGACGGACATTGCTTCCCACAGATGAGCAGCTGTGTGCCTGGGTTCCTGAAGGACCCGCTTCTACCTCCCCCTCCAGGGCAGGACCCGCCTGCTGCCTCCCCAGGCTGCTCCCGGGCTGCTCTGTGCAGCGTTGAGACCCACAGAGAACCAGGGTGTGGCAGGGCCCACAGGAGCATCACCCTGCCCTGACGTCTAGGAAAGCTTTCTAGAGCCTCTGAGCTGAGGGTGATGGGTGGGCGCGGCTGGTCAGCCTAGCGAAGGGGAAAGGCCATGTCAGTAGGAGGAACAGCGTATGCAAAGGGAGAGAAGGGAGGGAAGCAGAGGGGCGGCGCTACCAGCCTATTCTGGTGGAGCTGAAGCGTGGAACGGTGCTGGGGAGCCAGGGTCCCTGGTGCTGGGTTGTGAGCATGGCAGCAGGGCCCGCCTGGGGCCATCAGCGTGGGCTGGAGGAGAGCAGGGAGGCCGGGAAGAGGGTCTGTGCTGGGGCTGGAACAGAGGAGAGGAGCCGGCACAGAGACTCGGGGAGCAGGAAGGAGAGCCTGGGACGGATGGGTTGGAGGCAGGGCGAGGGCAACTTCAGGGGTCTAGCCGGTGAGTGGGGGGCAACAGGGCCACCTGCAGGTGGAGAACCAGGAGAAGCAGTGGGAAGGGGGCCCTCGCTGCTCCGCCAGGGCTGGGCACAGAGCACCTGATTGAGGAGACAGGAGAGCTGCTTGTGGGAACCAGGAAGTGGGTGAGCGTTTTCGGGGCAGAGAAAGCGGGCGCGTATCCTGCAGCCAAACTGGCCTCTCAGGTGTGTGATCTGAGCGCCTGTCCCGGGATGGGGACTCGAAAGGGAGGGGCTTTGGAAGACACAGATGCTGAGCCAGTGGGGGGGGGGGGGTGCACATGGGAAGGGTGGGGCATGCCCCGGGAGCAGGTGGGGACAGGAGCTTGGGGACCGCAATCTAGGAGTGACCTGCAGGAGGGAGCAAGTGCGTACAGAGAGGGGGCAGCTGGGCTGAGGTGCAGAGGGCCAGCAGCATGTAGGGCTTGGAGGCTCAGCCGGGGGCGTGGGAAACACTGAACAGATACACTAAACTAACTGGTGAGCCCGGCCCGTGTGGCTCAGTGGTTGACCGCCGACCTATGAGCCATGAGGTCATGGTTCGATTCCCGGTCAGGCACATGCCCCTGGTTATGGGCTAGATCCCCGGTAGAGGGCATGTGGGATGCGGGCAATTGATTCTCTCTCATCACTGATGTTTCTATCTCTCTCTCTCTCCCTCTCCCTTCCTCTCTGAAATCAATAAAAATATATATTTTTAAAAATAGTTAATTAATTAACTAGTGAACTGGGTTTTAAACTGGGCCCTTCAGAGACCCAGGGTCAGACACTCCCTCATGCTTACAACCCTCCCATGGTTCCCGCTGCCTGACGATAAAACCCAGGGCTCTACCTTGGCATCCAAGTCCCCGCCACTTCCGGGGTCTCCCTTCCCCCCTCTGCACGCTGGACCGAGCCCTGAGCCTTCCCAGAAGCCCTGCTCGCCCAGCCCCTTCTCTACCAGGCCTGGTCCTGGGGACTGCTCCCTGGGCCCTCCCCCAGCCCTGCCCCCTCTCGGCCACATAGCTGGCTGTTATCTGCGGAATTTATGGCCAGTCTTCCTAACAGCCCACTGGGATGGCTGCAAACAGCTTGGAAACCAATGAACCGACGAGCGAGCGGGTACAACAGCTGCCTCCTGCCAGTGCACACTCCCAGGGCTAGTGCCGGCCCGGCCCAGGGGAGAATCGGTACCAGGCAGCCCCTGGGGCCCCCTCGGCATCGAGGCAGGACACAGGGCTCAGCCATCAAGGCTCAAGTTGGGTGTCAGCCCCCACCTGTCCTCTGGCCACAGATCCTTAGACGGTGAGCGACCTGCGCAACTGAACAGCCGCCCTGCACTCACACGGGGCCCACGCGAGCAGGGAGCGCGTTAAAAATAGTGTCCTGGGCCCGGTCCCACAGATTCCAATTCAGTCATCTGGGCCGGAGCCCACAAGGCTCATTAATAACAGCTCCCGCCCGCCGGCGTGGCTCAGCTGGCTGAGCAGCATCCCAGGCACCAAGAGGCTGCCAGTTTGATTCCCAGTCAGGGCACATGCCCGGGGTTGTGAGCTCAGGCCCCAATGTTTCTCTCTCTCTCTCTCTCCTTCTCCCTCTCTCTCTAAAAATCAATTTTAAAAAGAAAAAGCATATTCAAAAAATAAAAATAACACAGTTCCCCTGGCCCTGGCTGGGCAGCTCAGTTGGTTAGAGCATCGTCTACATACGCCAAGGTTGCAGGTTCAATCTCAGGTCAGGGCATGTACAAGAATCAACCAATACAGGCCGTGTGGTCCAGGGGGAAGAGCACTGATCTCAGAGGAAGAATCAACCAATGGCCCTGACCGGTTTGGCTCAGTGGATAGAGCGTCGGCCTGCGGACTGAAGGGTCCTGGGTTCAATTCCCGTCAAGGGCATGTACCTTGGTTGCGGGCACATCCCCAGTAGGGAGTGTGTGCAGGAGGCAGCTGATCGATGTTTCTCTCTCATTGATATATATATATATATATATTTTCAACCAATGAATGCATAGATCAGTGGAACAACAAATCGATGTGGTTCTCTCTCTCTCAAATCAATAAAAGAAAAAGAAAAAATGTCTATTTCTCAAACAGCTCCCCTGGTGGTAGTGACCCCTGGCCAGAACGGGAGAGCCACACTCAGGACGCAGTTTCCCGGGTAGTAATGATGATAACAGTGGCAACAGCCACCTCTCAGACAGCACCTTCTGTGCCGGGTGTCAGGCTCTGTTCTCAGCACCGTACGCATTCATTCATTTAACCCCACAGCAACCCTAGGGGTTCGGTCCTGCTGACACCTCCACTCTGCAGATGCGGGAGCGGGTGCACAGAGGGGTTAAGCGTCTTATTCAAGGTCACACAGCTAGACGTCCATAGAGCTCAATTCAAACCCAGGCAGTCTGGTTCTAACACACACAACCTTCGCCCCATCGCTAAGTGCCTCTCAGTGAGGAGCTGTGAACACAACTGTAGCACCTACCACACGCCAGGCGCTGCGCCCAGTGCTCTTCGTGGATTCGCTCATTTACTCCTCATAACAAACCTGTGAGGTGGGTCACACTATTATCCCCATTTTCCAGATGAGGAAACTGAAGGACAGAGAGATCAAGAAACCTGCCCAAGGTTGCAGTGAGTAAATAAGGTAGAGAAGGAAGGGAGGAGAGGAAAGGAGGGGAGAGGAGAGGAGAGGAGGGGAGGGGAAGGGAAGGGAAGGGAAGGGAAGGGAAGGGAAGGGAAGGGAAGGGAAGGGAAGGGAAGGGAAGGGAAGGGAAGGAGCACCCCACGAGGCAGGAATAGTACTGAAATAAGCGAAAACATAGGGTGTCCTGACCTTCCCGCGGAATGCCGAGGAGCCGGGACCCAGGCTTACCTTGGTGGCCCGCACGCCCATGAAGACGGCGAAGAACAGCAGCAGCAGGGAGGTGCCCATCTTCAGGTCGGTGAGCACCACCATGCCCACGTTGACGAAGACCGCCACGCCCGAGACCACCAGGAAGAGGTTGAGCAGCGTGCGCTGCAGGGCCGACGTGCGCACCTTCAGCTCGGGCAGCAGCTGCTCCAGGCCCTCCAGGGGCGTGTCCTTGAAGCTCTTCAGCACCAGGTGCCCCCGCTTGGTGCGGGCCGCCAGCACCACCCGCTTAAAGTATCTCCTGGTGACAGAGACAGAGGCCGGCGGTCAGCACTGCCCAGGGGGCCCCTCCAGCCCCAGAGCACTCGCTGGGCTCTGCCCTCGCACAGTCATTTTAAAGGCCACTGAACGGCCCTGGCTGATTTGGCTCAGTGGATAGAGCGTCAGCCTGTGGACTGAAAGGTCCCGGGTTCGATTCCCTGGGTTGCGGGCTTGATCCCCAATAGAGGGTGTGCAGGAGGCAGCTGACCAATGATTCTCTCTCATCACTGATGTTTCTATCTCCCTCTCCCTGTCCCTTCCTCTCTGAAATCAATACAAATATGTTTTAAAAAATATTTAAAAATAAATAAAGGCCACTGAACGGTGGTGGGAGGGAAGTCAGCTCTAAGCTCGGTGCCCAGCAGCAGGGGATCGGGTACATAATACAGTCCCTACTAGTGGACACGGGGTTGCTGCTGATAAGAGGAGCTGATAAGAGGTTGTTGCACTTGATAAGAGGAGCTGAGTAAAACGCTTTCGTTGGGTTCATTTTCAATGTCAGATCCCACATCTCTGGCTGTGGCTGCTAGGAGCCGGGCAGTGCCGCGAGGCTCTGGAGAGGCAACAGAATGAGGCCATCACGGCCGTGTGCGCAGGGAGAGACACGATGAAGCTCCCGCTGCAAGTCTAAGGATCTGCTTGGACGGGTCCTGAAAGTGGAATGACTGGTTTAGGGGATGTAAGGGGTTCTTTGTCTTTGGCTTTTGTTTTGGTTTGGTGTTTTGGATTCGTGACCATATTTGATAAACTGATTTCCAGAAAGTCTGGGTCACGGACCAGCCCAGTGGCTGACTAGGAGAGCCTGGCTGCCCTGACTTGCTCTGTGTTGGAAAATCCTGTTAAAAAGATGACGTTAGCCCTAACTGGTCTGGCTCAGTGGATAGAGCGTCGGCCTGCAGACTGAAGGGTCCCGGGTTCGATTCCGGTCAAGGGCATGTACCTTGGTTGCGGGTGCATCCCCAGTGGGGGGTGTGCAGGAGGCGGCTGATCGATGTTTCTCTCTCATCGATGTTTCTAACTCTCTATTCCTCTCCCTTCCTCTCTGTAAAATATCAATAAAATATATTAAAAAAAAAAAAAGATGACGTTATCAGAACCTGCCCGTGGCCTTCCCGCTCAGAGCCCAGCTCGCTCATCTGGAAAACGGGGAGAAGTGCCCCTGCCCTTTCTCTTCCCCTGCGAAGTCTAGTTCCTTCTTTCCCTTGGGAAGAACAGCAGCATTTGCCCGGCCAGTGTGGCTCAATGGTTGAGCGTCGACCCATGAACCAGGAAGTCACAGTTCAATTCCCGGTCAGGGCACATGCTCGGGTTGCGGGCTTGGTCCCAGTGTGGGGGGTGCAGGAGGCAGCCGATCGATGATTCTCTCTCATCAGTGATGTTTCTCTCTCTCTCCCTCTCCCACCCTCTCTGAAATTAATAAAAATATATATTTTTAAAAAAGAAGCTGCATTTGGATGATCCACCCCTCCCCCTTTCTCGACTTCCCACCAGGCCCAGACCTCCAAATCCAGCCACTGACCTGTCAGTCCCCTCTCAGCTCTAACCTTGCTCCCTCCCGCTGCAGCCGGGGAACAAGGGCTGCCTCACCTCTCCGCAGGGGTGGCCTTGAAGAAGTAGTAACGCCTGGAGCCCACGCTGGACATGCGAGGCATCTTCCCGACTCTCTGGCCCAGGGCCCAGAACTGCATGTAGATGTACTGGTCCAAGTTGATCGTCACCTGCCAAGGGGGACAGGGGAAATACAGTAGCTAAGCATGGGCTGGGGCGTGAGTGCAGGTCCTGACAGGAGACTTCCCCCCCCCCCCCCCCGTGATTCAGCCCCTCCCCCAGGCCTGTCATCCCCCAGTGCTGGGCAGGGCAGCCATGCACGGTCACTCCTGTCAGACACTGCACAGGGTGTGCTATCTCAGATGGCACCATTCACGTGATAGTCATCGCCACCACATTTCTTTGAACCTAAGATGCCACTGACTTTAAGCCATTCCATTATTATTATTTTTAATATATTTTTATTGATTTCAGAGAGGAAGGGAGAGGGAGAGAGAGAAACATCCATGATGAGAGAACCATTGGCTGTCTGCCTCCTGCACGCCCCCTGCTGGGGACTGAGCCCTCAACCCGGGCATGTGCCCTTGACTGAACTCAAACCCGGGACCCTTCAGTCTGTAGGCTGATGCTCTATCCACTGATCGAGGGCTACTCCATTATTTTATAAAGCAATTAAAGGGGAAGATATATTGCCAATTTAACTATATCACACCACCACTTATAAGTCACAATTTCAGAGACAAGAAAATATTTTTAAAAAATACATCTTAAAGCCCAAAAATGTGGAACTATGGAAACTTTTAGCATTTTCATTATAATGCTGTTGGCTTTGAGGATGAGCGTTTTGTCTTATTTATGACTACAATGTGCTGGCGGCTGGTAATAAAATCTTGAGTTCTAAGAAGATCCGTATCTTATGCTACTTTCCCAACAGACGGCAGTGAAGTGGCCTGAGAAAGAGGCGTCTTTCTCTAATTCACCAACGTGCCACGTGGGCAAGTGTCCTGGGCCCAGGACTCCAACTCCCAGCAGCGTCTGCCTCCCCCAGAGGCCCCACCCCTGCCCCAAGGCCTCCTGGGCGCGTTGTCCTCCCTGGAAGACAGGTACCTGGACCTCATCCTGAGGGTGGTGGACCACGAGAGCATAGGCCAGGGTGTCCTCGGAGAGCGGGGAGAAGTTGGCCTGGGCCAGCAGGGGCTCCAGCGCCAGCAGCACCTCCTGCTCATTGGACAGGCGCTGGGGGTCCGTTAGCGAAGGCTGGTCCAGAGTCTCCCTGTCCGGGTTGATGGGGTCATATAAGGCCTGAGGAGAGAGTCAGAGAGAAGAGAAACGGGCGCGGTCACAGTGTGAGGGATCATGGGTAAACTTCAGGATGTTCCTGGCCCCCTCCTTTAAATGATGGGGTGCCCCAGGGCTTGACTCTGGGCCCCTCTTCCCTCTCTCTCTCTCCCTCCAAGCCTGCCCTAAGTGGCCTCGCCATCCCCATGCCTTCAAACACCTTCTCTTGCGGATAACTGCCCACTCACATCTCCAGCCTGGACCTCTCCTCCACGTTCCAGGCCTAATGCCCAACTCCACTGCGTGAGCATGCATTCTCCTGTTCTCCCACAGGAATCAAAGTAAAGGTGGACACAGACTGCCCAAATAAACTACATTTCCCAGCCTCCTCTGAGGCAAGGGGTGGCCAGGGGGACGAAGGCCATAGAATGTGAGCAGAATTGATGGGTGCACCTTCCCCCTCAATTCCTGCCCCCGCCCCGCGCCCCCCGGACTGTCCCCTCTTTTCTGGTTCTGCTAGCTTAGAACACTGTCCTACCTATGACCCAGTTTTGACCATACAGAGATGAAGACAATGCCCTAAGGCAGTGGTTCTCAACCTTCCTAATGCCTCGACCCTTTAATATGGTTCCTCATGTTGTGGTGACCCCCCCAATTTCATTGTTACAAATTGAACATAATGAAAGCATAGTGATTAATCACAAAAACAATATGTAATTATATATGTGTTTTCCGATGGTCTTAGGCAACCCCTGTGAAAGGGTCGTTCGACCCTCAAAGGGGTCGAGACCCACAGGTTGAGAACCACTGCCCTAAGGGATGGCAGAGCAACAAAATGGAAGGAACCCGGGTCCCAGCATAAACTTGTGTGGAACAAGGTGACCTCTGCACCCTGGCCCATTGACCGCAGGCTGTTCAGTGGGAGGGAAATAATCCTCCACCTCCTTTGAACCATCCGATTGTGGGGTCTGCTTGTCACAGCAGCTAAGCCTCTATATGAACTGATACAAACTCTCTACTTGACAATTGCTTTTGGATGTCACAATCACCTCAAATCCAATACGCCTACCATGCCCCCCTCCATTCCCAAACTTTCAATAAAACCACCGTTTTGGATTTCCTGTCTCAAACCGGTTCCCCTCAATCATCCCTGGCTTCTTCCCTGAGTGCCAGACCCTTCGATTCAGTGGTCTCTTGGACCTCTCCGCCTGGGTGCCTAGTGGCACATACCCGCGGGAGGAATGACCTGGGCAATGGTTTGGAGGTGGGAAGGCCCAGGGCCTCAGGAACAACTGAGCAGGGAGCCGGTGATGCCGGCAGAGTCATGCCCAGCTAATCCTCTTCTGAACTAACTCCCGGGGCCGGGACGCGCTGGCGGAGGACAGGACCTGAGGCCAGAGCCAAGGCCTGTGTCTGAGCCTTCAGCCCCGGCTGACGGAGCAGGTCCCAGAGGCCACACCGAGGCTCGTGGAGTGACCTTGAGAAATCCCGTTCCCAGCGCCGAGCTGCAGTTTGAGGGCGAGGAAACCTCAGAGTTGGAGGAGAAAGAATTCTATATTCTTCAAGCATCCCCTGCGAGCCAGATTCTTCTCTGGGAATCTCACGTCCACCAGGGCTTCAAGCCAGAAGCCTGGATGTCGCAGGTGACCCTGGCTGCTCTCTCCCCTCGTACATTAACACCCTCCATCCCACCTCCATGTGGATCACCACTTCGCCCAGCTCTCTCTTCCCCGTCCGCACCACCATAGCCTCCTCCTGCCTGGGTGCGTCCAGCCTTCCCAGTGGCCTCCCCAGCCCTTCTGCCCCCCTCCCCTGCCCCTCTGTTTCCTACACAGCAGCCGGGGAGAGCTTATCAAGCGATCATAGTAATACCTGAGAATGGCGAACATTGTGCAGCACTTACTACGCGTCAGGCACTATTTGAAGCACGTTATACACATTCTCGCCATGTGAGGATGGTGCTTCTGTTACCCTCACTTACAGATGTGGAAACTGAGGCACCGAGAGATGTAAGTGTCAAGTTCACAGAGCCAGGAAGTGATGTATCAGGAATTACACATCCAACTACGTCCCTCTCCTGCCAGAACCCTTCCCGGGCTCCTGCGGCCCTCCCAGGACATGCTCTGCACTCGGGCCTGCAAGCCCCGCTTTGCTCCTCTACCCCAGCCACCCTGGCTTTCCTTCCTCCAGGCCCAGGGACTTGGCATGCGCTGTTGGGAGCCTCTCCCTGGCGCCTCCCTGCCTCCTTCCCGTTCACTACTGAGTCCTCCTCCTCCTCTGTGTTCCAGCAACCTGGGCGGGGCGTGCACTGTACAGAGGCGCCAGGCCTAAGAGGCACCGTCGCAGATGCTGTCGCCCTGACATTCATCCTAACAGTCACCCTTTCGCATGGAACTTCCCGCAACAGAACTCCCTGCAGTGACGGGAACATCTGGATCTGCACCCCCATTCGGTGGCCCCTGGTCCCAGGTGGCTGGCTGCCGGGCATTGAAACGTGGTGAACGCTACTGAAGAACAGAATTCTAAAATCTGATTTACTGTCAATGATTCCAAATGTAAACCGCCACGTGTGGAGAGGGACCATCCTGTGAGACTGCCTCCGGCCAGGGAGAGGGGGGCCTTTTCCTAATTTGCACTCAGACCTGGGACCGAGGCCAAGGTCAGCTTTGTCACCCGCTCTCCGGACTGTGCCCTTCGAGCTCACAACCTGAACGTGTCCATTCACCGGGAAAGAGCGTCTGATTCACGGCTGTTGCCACCTGGCACCGGGTGTCCCTCAAACATCTGCTGAAAGAATGAAAGATGTCCCTGGAGCCCGGCCAGTGTGGCTCAGTGGTCGAGCATCGACCTCTGAACCAGGAGGTCACGGTTCAATTCCCGGTCAGGGCACATGCACTAGTGGTGGGTTTGATCCCCACTGGGGGGTGTGCAGGAAGCAGCCGGTCCATGATTCTCTCTCATCATTGATGTTTCTGTCTCCCTCTCCCTCTCCCTTCCTCTCTGAAATCAATAAAAATACATTTATTTAAATAAAAAAGTAAAACACCCCCGTGTCTTTGTGGCGATTGCTGTTTTCTATCCCCCAGCATCCCCTTGGGGCCTCGAACCCCATCCACCTCCTGAGGACCCCAGATTGGTCTCCAGCCCAGACGTCTTTCCTGAGCTCCAGACTCACCCAGCAAGAGCCTGCTCAGCACTTCCCCACGATGGCCACGGCCTCCCGATGCTTCCACGTGGATACCCAGCGGCGTCCTCTCACCCTCACTGTGGACTCCGAGTCCCAAACTGGGGCCCTGAAACTCCTCCCACACCTGCTCCTCCCGCCTTCCTCCCCAGCTCAGAAGAGGACAATCCATCCTTCTAGGTCAGTGGTTCTCAACCTGTGGGTCGCGACCCCTTTGGCAGTCGAACGACCCTTTCACAGGGGTCGCCTAAGACCATCGGAAAACACATATATAATTACATATTGTTTTTGTGATTAATCACTATGCTTTAGTTATGTTCAATTTGTAACAATGAAAATACATCCTGCATATCAGATATTTACATTACGATTCATAACAGTAGCAAAATGACAGTGATGAAGTAGCAACGAAAATAATTTTATGGTTGGGGGTCACCACAACATGAGGAACTGTATTAAAGGGTCGCGGCATCAGGAAGATTGAGAACCACTGCTCTAGGTGCTCAGGCCCAAAGTCTGGGGTCATCCGGGACACCCCTCTTTCTCACATATTCAATGCACCAGCAAATCCGGAGCCATCACGTTCAGAACAGATCCAGAATCCAACCACTTCTCAACCCTTGTAGGAGCCACCCATACTCCCTGGACGGGTGACTGGCGGCAGCACTGGGCTCCCAGCTCCCATCCTCCATCCCGTCGATACCCCACATGGTCAGCAGAGGGCGCCCGCTGTAATCTGAGTCCACTCACGTCCCTCTTCAGTTTAGAGCCCTCCTGTGGCTTCCACCTCACTCCGTGTCCTCACCTGTGTCCCACAAGGCCCTGCAGGGTCGGGCCCCACTCCCCTCCCTGCCCTCATCTCCAGGCCTGCCTGCCTCACTCACTCAGCTTTAGCCCCGCCCACGTCATTGCTGTTCCTCCTGCACTCCTGCCTCAGGGCCTTTGCACTTACTGTTTCTGCAGCTCTCCACATGGCTCACTCTTGCCTCCTTCAGGTCTCTGCTCAAACTCCAGCCCCTCAGGGAGGCCTTCCCTCATCACCACACCTAAAATTGCAAAACACTTCTGCTTTCTTTTTCTCTTTACTTACTTACCAGATTTAGACAAAAATAAAATACAGGACACCAAGTTAAATCTGATTTGCAGATCAACGACAGATAATTTTGCAGTTTAAGTGTGTCTCATGCAATATTCGATATGCATGGGACATAATTATACTTTAAAAATCGTTCATAGCTTATCTGAAATTCAACTGTAACTGGGGAGAGAGGGTTGAATGGTGTCCCCTAAAAATTCACGCCCGCTCGGAACCTTAGAGTATGCTCCATTTGGATAGAGTTTTTGCGGGTGTAATTAAGATAAGGAGTGAGATGAGATCAGACTGGATTGAGGCGGATCCTAAATCCAATGAGGGTGTCCTTATAGGAGACAGAAAAGGACACAGAGGCACAGAGAAGAAGACGATGTGAAGATGGCGATGGAGTGATGTGTCCACAAGCCAAGGGCTGCCAGCAGCCACTGATTTCCCCCTCAGAGCCACCCGAAGAAACTAACTCTGCCCACACCTTCTGGACTCCTGAATGCGGACAGAATGCATTTCTGTTGTTTTAAGCCGCCAGTTCACAGCAGGAGGCACAAATGAATAAATGGGGCTTCCTGTACTTTTACCCGGCAACCCTGCCCTTAGCACTCAGCATCTGAACATATTCTCCTTCTTCCCTTTGTCGAGGGCCTGTCTCACTCACTAGAACATGACCAAATGAGGCAGATACACACCTATGTCAGGCTCGCTGCTGTGTCCTCGGGCCTCGGACCATTTGGGGGACACAGTAGGTGCTCAATAAATATATACTGAGAAAATTCAATGAATGAATGAATGAATGAGGGAGGGAGGGAGAGGAGGAACAGAGAGCGGTCACCTGCCAAGGTCACCTGCAGGACTAGTGCACAACAAAGCCAGCTTTTGGACCGGGGCTCTTCTTATTCTTTTCCTGTCCCAGGCTGCTTCCTCAAGGGACTTAAAGGTCACCAACAGCTGGTCACCCAGTCTCCCATGCCCCTCTGGTGCTTCCACCCGCCCCTCTCAGTACCTGTTAGACCCTTCAGTCCACAGGCTGACGCTCTATCGATGTTTCTATTACCTCCTGCCTTCCCTGGCCGGTGTGGCTCAGTTGGCTGGGCGTTGTCCTGTGCCCCGAAAGGTTGCCAGTTGGGTTCCTGGTCAGGGCACATGCCCGGGTTGTGGGCTCGACCCCTAGTACGGGGCATGCAGGAGGCAGCTGATGGATGTTTCGTTTTCACATCGATGTTTCTCTTTCTCTCCCTCTCTCTAAAAATCAATTTAAAAAAAAATCTTAAAATCTCCTGCTTCAGTGGGAATATGCATCTTCATTGATTATTCTTTCTATGTTTCTATATAAATGTTCATATAATATTTATTAAAATAACAACAATAGCCTCAGCTGGTTCGGCTCAGTGGGTAGAGCGTCGGCCTGCGGACTGAAGAGTCCCAGGTCCGATTCCAGTCAGGGGCACATGCCTGGGTTTCGGCCTTGATCCCCAGTAGGAGGCATTCAGGAGGCAGCCGATCAATGATTCTCTCTCATCACTGATGTTTCTATCTCTCCCACACCCTTCCTCTCTGAAATCAATAAAAAAAATATATTTTTTTAAAAAGTATCTTGGGCCCTGGCCGGTTTGGCTCAGTGGATAGAGCGTCGTCAGCCTGTGGACTGAAGGGTTCTGGGTTCGATTATGGTCAGGGGCACATGCCCAGGTTGTGGGCTTGATCCCCAGTAGTGGGCATGCAAGAGGTAGCCGATCCATGATTCTCTCTCATCATTGATGTTTCTATCTCTCCCTCTCCATTCTTCTCTGAAATAAATAAAAAGGTATTTTAAAAATAATAAAAAGTGCCTTGGTTTACCCAGGGCCTTGGGCCACACTGGATGTCTATGCTAACAATGTGATGGACGGTGGGAGTCATGGGCCATGAGGCAGTCTGCCCGCTGGAGGGGCTGGAGACTGAGTAACTAGGATAGTGACACAGGTGGCCAGCCAGGCCTGCGTGACCAACCTCCAATAAAACCCGGGACAAAGCCCGGGTGAGCTTCCCTACGTGTTGTCACATATTGTTGTGGGAGAATTAAGTCCTGTCCTAGGGACAATGCTGGGAGAGGACAAGTGGCAGCTCTGGCCTGGTCTCATCTGGGCCCTCCCCGCGGCCTTTTTCCTTTGCTAACGGTGCTCACCAGCCTTTCACTGTGTAATAAGCTACCACTTCAAGCGTAACAGTTTTCTCGAGCTCTGGGAGTCCCGCTAGAAAATCAATGAACCTGAGGGTGGTCTTGGGGACCCTCAGTCCAGGCAGGACCCAGGGAGGAGAAGGAGAAGGCGGCTAAGAATGTATCTTCTGCCCTGGCTGGTTTGGCTCTGTGGGCAGAGCATCGGCCTGTGGACGGAAAGGTCCTGGGATCGATTCCCGTCAAGGGCACATGCCTGGGTTGTGGGCTCGGTCCCCAGTGGGGGGTGTGCAGGAGGTAGCCAATCAATGATTCTCTCTCATCACTGATGTATCTATCTCTCTCCCTCTCCCTTCCTCTCTAAAATCAATAAAAAAAAAAAAATATATATATATATATATATATATATATTTTTTTTTAAA